TAATATAAAAATACCTGTACTGTACGGTTTTTTAACATAAAAAATTTCATACAGTACAATTTAAATATATATATATAATAAGGTGTACTGTATTGTACGAATTTTGTGCAAATTTTATTTAAAATCGTACAGTACAAAATAGCATTTCGTACCATACAGTTTATCGTCATACCTAAAAAATAACCATAGGTGTCTCAAAAACGATACTTTAGCATTTCTGGGAAGCTTTTATCACATGAAGTATGCACGTGAAGTAATTCAATACTATGGACCAACGAAATTCGGAGGTTGGAAGGCGCACATGATATGAGTTGCACAGGTCTATTTAAAGTTCAACAATGCAACATTATATCTTTTATTTAAGTTTGATAAATATCAACTAAAAACAAATGACTTTTATAAAGGAAATGGCAATATAATAATGGTAAATTTTCATGAAACAATTTTGTTGGCATTTTAAAAGATAGAAAATTGATCCAGGATTTTTCTATGGCTTTACACGAGATCTCAATGTTTCCATAATATTTCCATAAGATGTTGTCAAAGAAGAATCAGAAGATCAGGGCAACGATGCGAGCAATATTTGTATCTGGATTCATTAAATATATTATTTATGTTATTTAGGGAAAAGTCCGAGTTTCCATTGTTGACATTTAATAACTTTAACATTTTTAATAATAATATAATGAATTAATAAAAACTTTATTTTATTATCACATGAAAAACGAATCAATTTAAAAATAAAGAAAATAAAAGAAATAAACAAAGAAATAAACAAGAATATGTAAGAGAAACTGAAAAAGATTAGTTTGAAATTATTAGAATTATTATATAAATAGAAATTTAAGGACGAACATTAAATTATTCTCAATTTTCTCGCTATAATTCAATAATAATAATAATAATAATCTAAATTAATCTAAAATAATTTCTTCACTCTTTTTTTTTAAATATAAACTAAAATTATACTTTCGTAATTACTGCTTCACCAATAGTAGATGTTTTTTTATACGTAACACAAAAAGAAGCTCCTACAAGATCATCTACAGTTAATCCCGTAAAATCGCATTCAAATGCTGAAGCTCCTGGAATATTAATAGTTATCTGTGCGTTAATTTCTGTAGTCAAATTTTTAATAGTCGAACCAGCAGAATTTTTAATAATATATTCATAATTTGACTTTATGTCATCAACAAATCCCGTATTAAATTGTCCGGTGATTCTAACTGTACTAGTCGCAATCTCGGTAAAATGAAATTCTCCAGAACATCTACTATTATATCCGTAATTATAAAAATTACAATAGGCTACATCTCCAACTGCACGACGATTAATGGAACGATTCCTAACACTTAATCCGGATACATGTGCAGAGAGAAGTGAAAAGATGAGAAGGGTTATGAAAGGAAGATTTACTGAGACTTTTGTGTTCATTTTTGATTATGTTTTATTGATTATTTGTTAGTGTTATTAATTTTTTTTTTTTTGTTAACGTTATTAATTTTTATTAATGTTATTTAATTATTGTAATTATTACTATTAATGATTGTTGTTTTTAGATTGGTTGTTCTCCAAAGAATTTATCATGTCCTTTTATACATTTTCATCTTGAAAATTTTTTCCTTATAAATCATTGTAACTATTGGTCGTTAATGGCTGTGGGTGGAAAACGCCAAACGCCAAAAAACTGTTGGATCTTGGTAAAAATAATGTTAATATTGACATTGAATCAGATATCGTGGCTTCAATTTTATTCTTACAATTTAAAGACAACACTTTGATTAATCATGGCGTCCTTTTTCCACTCTTCTTTTCATCTCTCTCTGACTGTGACTCGGCATTTGAATATTGTCGCACATTTGATTCATTGACTATTTGATTATAGCATTGTTGCGTATTGCCGAGCCACTAATAGCAACTAATAAACTAAAAAAGTAACTTAGAAAATAATCAGGCCACTAATAGCACGATTAAAAACACGATAAAAAACCGATTAAAAACACGATAAATTAGTAATATTTCCATTTACGTTATTTGCGTAATTTATGTAAAAGATCTTGAATCACCAAAACATGAATTATTCGAGAAATTTAAACAAAAAACTAAGCCATTGGAATTTTTACAGCCACTTTAAGAAGAGATGGCTTTGATCGATCGATTAGATTATATCAAAAATGAAATTTCTATCACATAATTTTTCTTGCGATTATCGTGGCTTATAATATAAATACTTGACATTTACGTTTATATCATTATTCACTGCATTAGTCATGCGAATTGTGTATCACGAATATAAAGTATTTCTCTCTCATTCCCTCTTTCTGTAATAACGTAACGTTAAGTCGACAAGTCAACGAATATACAATAATAACGATAATAATAACGATAATAATAACGATAATAATAACAATAATAATAACAATAACAACTATAATAATAACAATGATAACAATAATAACAGTAATGATAAATATGGATTTTACCAATGACATTAACAGATAGATCCTGGTGTTAAAATGTAAATGTCACAGTGTACTTTGATTATGTTAATGTAAAATTTTACCATCAAGATAATATGTGATATTTTTATTCAATAAAAAAGAAAACAGATAGAATAATGAGATGTGAAATAAATGAATAAAGAAAACATGATGATAACGTATAAAGATTATAATAAATCTAATAATTCTAATAATTCTAATAAGTCTAATATTGTGTCTAACATTTTGCGTGTGTGGCACATTTTATTGCTCAGTCCGAACCAAGCCAAGTTGGACTGATGGAGTTAAACCTGTTCGACTAGAGTTTCAAGTCGGCAGTTTGGTTTGGTTTGACTTAGCTTTTAAATTAATGGTCAAGCTATGGAGTCGATGGAGTCGATAATAACGATATTTTCAGTATAAATATTAATATATATTAAATTTCCATCCTACCAGTTTGACTTGTGATTCAAGTCGGCTTGGCTTTGACTTCAAGTCAAACCAAGTCAGACCAAGCCAGACCTTTAGCAACATAAGTTATAAACTATTAGAAATAAATTATCACATTTACAAATGTAATAATTTATTTTTAATATTAGTTATACTGATTCAGAAATTTTTTCTTTAACTCCACTATTATTTTCGATATCAATAACGATGTCATCATTTTTGTCTATATTAACAACAGTTTCATTGTTGTCGTCATTGTTGTTGTTGTCATTATTATCATTGTTATCATTGTTGCTATTGTTATCGTTATTATTATTGTTGTTGTTTTCGTTATTATTATTGATATTGTTGTTGTTATTATTATTATTTCTGCTGCTGTCGTTGTTATTATTGTAACCGTAATTTCCAATAATATTTTCTACGATATTAACCGTGGGTTTACGAAAAATCGTTACACTAATACAAATGAATCCAAAATGAATCCAAGACATCATGATATTTTTTAGATGATATTCACAAGTCTCGAGTAATAAATGTTGAGTTCCCGGAATTGAATCAAATCCGTCATAAATGTGAGGACATTCCATTGGTTGATGTCTAATGAAATCGTAGGCTGATGTTATAATGTAAATTCCTGATAAAAATAAACAAAAACTGAAAATATTTGGAATATTTAATATTTTTTTTAAAATAAATATTGAAAATGAAATAATAATAATGTAATAATAATAATGTGAAGACTTACATGCATTCTCTAATGACGGCAACACAAATATTAATAACTGAATTAATTTAAAAATGAAATAAAAAAAAAAGAATAAATTATATTAATTTTTATTAATTATATTTTTAATATAATGAATAAAATAATTTGAAATAAAAAATAAATAAATAAGTAAATAAATAAACCCACAACATAAACTAAAGTAGATCCAAAATATAGCATAAATCTTTACGCCAAATTTACTATTATTATAATTATTATTTAATTATTATTGTTAGCATATATATCGATATTAAGCAAATATTTTTTTAAAAAATTAAAAATAATAATAATAATTACATACCTTATATTAGTGTAATACTCTTTACCGATTTGTTCTTCGTGTGATCCTTTTCCTTCATGTGATTTCTGTTCATCTCCATTCTCATAAAAATTTTTACGTGCTGCGGCTTCCATATAATTAGATGATTCCTTAAGTTCTATAAATAATGTATGAAAAATTTTATTAGATTTTATTCAATTTTATCCGTTTATTAATATTTTATTTATTTTATTTTATTTTTATTTTTCTTACTCTTACCGAATATAATACTCATAACCCATAAACTGAACCCCAACAATATAAGTAATGTCTTCAAAATTATTTTAATTCCCATTATCAAAATGTGATGTAAATTTTATTGTTATCTTTTTTTGAAAAAAAAAAAATTTTTTATTTTATTGTTGTCTCTTTTTGAAAGAAAATTTCGTGTATTTATATTTTTAAACAAGGGGGGGACAAGGAATAGCGACTCCGGGAATGGTCGGTTATGACATCAACGGAAAATAGTAAAGTAAAAAAGGTGTCTCTAAATAAGGACATCGTGAAAGGTAAAAAATGTTTAAAGAATATTGGAAATTTAGAAACTTTTACTAAAATTCTAGAAAAATATTATGATATTATAACTTAAAAGAAAACTATATATAATTGAAAAATAGGTTTTTCTGTAGAAGTCGAGGAGAGAAGGCAAAATAAATTATTTCCTTTTTTTTTTTATCCACATGAATTGTGAATTCAAAAATGGAAAAAAAAATTAATTACAATACCATTTGTACGACAAAGAAAATTCGAATTTTATTCATTATATATATTATTCTAGAAACAGAAAAGTTACACATCCACAATACGATCGTTGCTACTAATAAAACATAAAAAAAAAAAATACTAAGTAACCTTGAAGCTAAAATATACTACAAATATTTTAGATCTATTTGAGGGAATGATGAATGATTAAAGTTTAAACGTTCGAAAAAATTATTATAATAATATTTAAACATTTATAATTCTTTCAAGATGCATTTTTTTTCTTTTGATGTTTGATCTCTAAAAATAGATTTTATGTGCATAATTGTATCTTTATTACACTACATTTGGAATTCCTGCGCCTGATGGTTGTTACATGTATTGTTAGTTGTTTCTCTTATTGTTATATGCAATACACTTTTGACTAAAGTTCTTCTTTATTGCTAAACTGAACTAAAAACAACAAAAAATAAAAAATAAAAAAGCAACTAATAATATTGAACTTTAGAGAAAAGAAATAGAATAAGTTGTTAGTAGAATTGAAATTTATGTTGATGGGTTGACAGGGTATGTAGTCAGATATTTAAAGTTTTTATTTACATAATAAAGTATTTTTTTTTAAAAAAAAAAAATAACAAATATACTGCATTTTTTAAATTTAATTTCCGCTTTCTAATTTGAATTATTGAGTAATTATAGACTATAGGAAAATTAATTTTGTGTTAAACTTTATTAAATAATAAAATTTTTGGGGCAATCACAATTGGGGATCTTGATCAAAAAACGATCGTGATCGGATAAAAATAGCGATCAACGGTTCGGACCGAAATTATTGACTTAATCAGTAGCAGGAGATAAAGACAAAGATCTAGAGTTAGAGTAAAGTAAAAGATAGGAAAAATTTTTTACCTCATGAATGGATGATGATTAAATATATTTTTTATTATTTTATTTTTCCTTTGTTATTTTTGTTGTTGTATAACAATCAATAGATAGTTAGATGCAAAAATCATTGTTACTATAAATACTATAAATGAAAAATCTTGAATTTTTTTTTTATTAAGATTTTCGGAAAAACAATAAAATTACTAATTTAACCAATTTAACTAGCAATGTAGGGAGGAGGGGAAGAAAAAAAAATCTTTTAGTTCAATACCGAATATGTAATGGAAACACAAATAGTCCGATGATCTTTCTGTAGAATTATTAATATTATTTTACCTCACTTTTTCATCACCATCTTTTTCAATATCCATTTCAGAGATTAACTATCTAACGTATCATATCATAAAAACTTAGGTTTACAGATGGTTGAAAAAGGACAGGAATATATAGCATTAGGTAGATATAATAATTGGTAAAATCAAATCGCTTGATATGGATGCATGAATCCATGATAAAAGAATATGAGAGAAAAGCATCTGAACCACTACAAAATAATAACTAATATTTTAATATATGGGCAAAACAGGTTCTCGGCTTAAAATTTTTTTTTTTTTGAGATTTTGTTATAATTATATGTACGTATATTAATTCAAAAAAATTTTTTTTTGAGAAAATAAGTTTAAATTTTTTTTTTTGAACCGAGAACCGTTTTCGCTGTCCCCATATACTTATATTTAAACATTACATATCTTTTATTTTAATTATATTGATAAATTATATACGTTATAATCACTTAATCACATGGCGGCGACACGAAGTCCCCGCATCCAAAAATATCTAGTTGATATGATAAAAAAATATATCAGATATAATCTTTTTTATATAAAGTATTATATATCTAAACCGAAACCATCGGTTTAATAAACTATAGGCAAAAATCAAAACAAGCGGGTTCGGTATATTAATCAGATTTGCAAGTTCAATATTTTGTCGCAACGTGTCGCAGAGATAGTTTAACAAAAATCGGACAAAGAATGTGAAAACCATATTTGTCACCTCTTATATTTAAAGAGATGTATATAATAATATTATTAACTAAAGAAAATCCGAACACAAGGTATCAATCAAATTTGCTAAACTTAGACAATATCGATCACGTTTGATATATTTTAAAATCAAATTTACAGTGGTGTTCAAAAAAAATGATCAACAAGTGTAACTATTCCGATTTTGGCCAGAATTACACAAATTAATACACAAATAAATTCCACAT